GGAAAATACCATGGAAACTATATTGCTGGTTGGTGGTTTGGAACATTTTTTATTGTTCCATCATATATTGAGATAATCCTTCCCATTGACTTTCATATTTTTTCAAGCCAGACTAGTTGGGCCAGTTTTGCAGGATTCACCCAACTCCTAACCAGTTCTCGCGAGACCTGCTGAGGATGCTAAAACCACCAACCAGATTGGAATTGGTGGCTTGAAATGGATGGTTTGGGATCATTCATCATGTCATGGCCAATCACACAGATCTCTCGGATGGCTCTGGAGAATTCCTAGCATCCTCAGCATCCTCAGGTCTCGCGAGAACTGGTTAGGAGTTGGGTGAATCCTGCAAAACTGGCCCAACTAGTCTGGCTTGTACTATCCAGTGGTTAGGAGCTTGACTGTCCTTTGCAATCTGACATATCTATGCTAGAGCTCTACATGGATTACAGAATTTTGACAAACTCCATCGTTCCTCGAAACGTTTTTACCAGAAGGGAGCGGGATCAGCATACGGCACCATGCTATATCCTGGAAGATATTGAGAACTTGGCCGATACATGTACACGTACTCTGGGTGATCAAATGATGGTTTGGGCCAAGTGTTTGTCTTGGTTACACAAAGTTGTACCTCACAAGGTAATACCATCACGCCTTACCAGCAAAGCCAAGTCATTAAGTGCACTCGGCTCCAGTGCCACTGCAAAGGGATTTGCCACGAGACCCAAACTGTGCTACCCTAATGAAGTTCAAGCCACCTTGTTCAACTATTTCAATACATCTACTGGTCATAACCGCAAGCTCAACAGAGTCCTGGATCATCCGAAAGTGAATTCCGAATTTCCAGCCTGGCCACCTGATCTTGAAGTTCCTTTCTTGCAACGTGCCAAGTTGATCAGAAACACAGTCAGAACATTCCCTCTCGAATAGGTTTTTGGCATCGCAATGTATAGAAGTGTTGGGAATACGAAACTCTGATTTCCTACACACCCAAACGCTGGGACTAAATGCGAAAGTGCGAAAATCCAGTGGTTAGGAGGGAGCAGTTCGTAAGCACATGCAACTCGTTGGTACCGAAATTTGGGTTACACGCATCTACGCGTTTTTCATGAGGGCCAAGAGTAAACGCCGCCCAAATCAGATCAATATGAAGATCCAATGGTATCAGTGAGAGACATGACCCATATCCGTGGTAAGGCATCAACAACCCATCAACCACAGTTCACGGCTTTATCTGTGCGGTTGTGAACGCAGACGATTTTTGGTATCAAACCTCTTGAGATCTGTCTTTGCGTCTCACCTTTCCGGGTCGAAAACTGATCAGAGTGGCACTGATATTATCTTGATATATATATATATATACACACAGATATAGTTGGTGAAATTTGGTTGGTGACATGTTAAGACATGTTTGGTGACATGTTAAGAAGCCCTTAAGATAAGCCTTGATGATCCTTGACGTTTCCATGGCTGAGGGACCTTTGCATCCGAATGGCTCCAGGTTGAGCGCGACCTTGGGGGCACCAGGTGGTCGGGGGCTGTCGGGGGTCGTTTGTTTGAAGACCAGCTGGCTTTAGAACTGCAAGAAGCGGGTGTTTTTCTGAATGTTTATGATATACTTATCACATCTTATAACTTATACTTATCATATCTTATAACTTATAGATACTTATACTACCTCACAACTATATACTATAGTATTCATGGGGGGTTATAAACGTCGGCCACAGCCAAGCTGAAGCAAGAAGCATCAGCTGCAAGATTTCCATTGACGATATGACACAATTGCCATTTCGAGGGGATCGACAATGTCTTATTCGAGGCATAGCTAATTAGCGACTGTTGCAATAACTGTTCGGTGACCGCCCTTGACCAAGGGGAAAATCATCCGAATTTCAGGTGTGGAGAGTAGCCTCTGGTAATTTAACATAGCTATGGAAAATCACCATTTTTAATGCGAAAATCCACTATAAATGGCCATGTTCAATAGCTATGTTAGTTTACCAGAGAGTAGCCCTAAATCAATTGTGGCAGGTCTTGCCTCCTCAATCTGACCAGCGATGGTTCGAAGACACAAAAAGCGGGCTCAAATGGATTGCTCGGCCACTCGGCCACTGCCATGGGATTAGCAATCTCACATGATCTCATGATATCTCATGTATGAAAAGAGCAAAAAAAAATCGGATGCTGATCTTTAATCAACATTCTATCGTGGTTTCTTAAATTGTCACCAAGAAAATTGCAGAACCGTGGTTCTTGGCAAAGCTCGGGAAGCCGCCATACAGGATTCCACTTGTAGGATAGGTCAAGTGGTAACTGGTGACGATTTCATGCCCAGACTTGGTTCAAGGGAAAGCCTAGAACCCCGAAAGAATTTAGGGATCAACGCATCGAACAAACATATAGAAACAACGTATGTAAGAAAATAGATTTATATTTATACAATTTTATTTTAAAAAAACAACAAATCCCAATGTCTCTCCTTAATAAGTTGATAGATCACCACATAGCAGTGACCTGAGCGCGAGAAAAAACATTGGAATATTTGCTACCACATGTCCAGCTTCCAGGCAAAGTGAGAGAAACTCTGAGATGTACGAAAACCATCATGAACATGTATACTATGGATATGATATATATATATAATATATATATATATATGACATGGAGGTATATCATTTACCCTCTGGTAAACGTTTACATAACTATGGAAAATCACCATGTTCAATGGGAAAATCCACTATTTCTATGGCCATTTTCAATAGCAAACTGTTAGTCATTACCAGACAACTACGGTACAGATTTAGCTCCCACTGACCTCACCCAGACGGGGTTCTGGCACGTTTCATCATCTCAGAGACCTGGAAGCTGACAGCAGTCCCCCCAGCAGTGAAGATTCACAGAAAACTACTCAGGACTTTTATATATAATTATATATATATTATGTATATATATATATATTATATAGAGATATTCATGATGATTCATGATGATTCATGATGATTCATGATGATTCATGATGATTCATGATGATTCATGATGTATATGTTGTTGCATAGTTCAGCATGACAATTTCATCATGAACTACATGATGTCTGAATAGATTGTTGGAACTACGTAACTAAGATTCGGAAACATAATGAATCACAATGATTATTTCTATGACATCAACATACATCAAGGCTATCTTAGGTATACTATGGATATGATATATATGTATATATATATATATATGGGTAACTTATAACGACCTCACTGCGACCTCACTGGAAATCATGGTTAATAAGGGGAATCATCAGGATAGTGAAATATTATAATTTACCCAGATATAAGCATACATACTTACATACTATATATATAATACACCATACATACAGATTTATATCTTGGTTTGTGGAGCGACATCAATGCTGGAGGGGGCACTGAACTTATTTAGAAATTCGTCCCAGGTAGACCTTCAGAAATGACCCGTGGTGACCCATTGGTGACCTGTGCTGCCGGACAAGTCAGTGGTGACGACATGGAACTGATTTTTTCTAGTTTTCATACTTCAAAGCATACATTAAGATGATACATTAAGATGATACACTGTGAAACACCAAGACTCAACCCAGTTTTGTTTCTTGGTTTATAACCCCATTTAATTATAGTTTGATGTATCCACAATAATATATCCAATCGTTAGCCTAGTGAAAGAAACTTAGCTATCGATTGGACAGGTACGAACTGGGCAGGATTATGAAGCAGATCACTGGAACTACTGTCACTTGCTCAAAGTGCATGTGATGAATTACATGTTTATAAACCTAACATGTGGCATTTATATGAATTTATACTGGTTGGTGGTTTGGAACATTTTTTATGTTTCCATATATCGCAATGGGAATTTCATAATCCCAACTGACTTTCATATGTTTCAGAGGGGTAGGTCAACCACCAACCGTTATATCCAAGTAAATCCCAAAAATATCATCCAACATCTAGCCACATATCGTCAGATGTAACGATTCCACGTCTGTTTCAAGGTCCCTGGATCAGCCAATGCTTAGCACCTGCGGTGGCGAAAGGAAGGAAAACAGCGGTGGTTAGAAAATGGGGAATATATGGGGATAATATGGGGATAATATGGGGATAATATGGGGATAATACGGGGGATATTGGTTGTAATGGTTATGCTGTGTAATAATATGGGTTTTGATGGGACTATGGGGGATGTACCCTATCAATAATATGGGCGAAGATCGGTTGTAATGTTCTGTAAGGCTTACATAATTATAATATTCATATTTTTCCATGGGTTCTGATGAGGGTTAATTCCCAAGAATATTTCCCATCATCCCCAATGTTCAATGAGTGGTGCGGGCTTAAATAACAGATTACAGCAACTCATCATCCCATGTAAGGGTATATCATCGGTAGATCCAACAATTTCCCCCCCAATTGGGGGATGACCATATGGATAGCCCAAAACAATTGTAGGTGCCTTTACAGTTCAGGTTGCTGAACTGTTGCTGAGGGAAAGGCACGATTGTTTTGGGCTATCCATATGGCCAAGAGATGTCCGTAGCAGGTGCGATGTCATAGACACGCAGTGCATTATAGCAGAATTGTCCACATCTGAAGTACTGAGATGATACATCGAAGCTCTCAACCCTGCTGACAGAAGCAAGCGCAGGTTGAGAACGGGACATTTTATATACTTGAATCGTTCATGTTTGCTTTTTTCCGGTATTTTTTCCGCATATCGTCCCTGCAAACCTCCCAAATGTGTACATGTATATATGAATACGTATCATATACAACATAATGCTTACTTACGTCCGGGTATATTCGGGTATGTAATATATATATATATATATTGTCAGTCTATATTATATATAAATTATATACACATGGATGGATTGGGTTAGCATCCAACTTGCATCAATAGCACCACATGACTAGAATATGACTTGGATGAGTTGTTCAAGAGCCGAAAAACGTTGGAACTTTGGTTCAGATTCGCGAGTCAACTTCTTTCGGCGCTTTTCTGCGCCCAAACTCTGAGGCCGCAGTTTGCGGCCTGAATTTGTGTCGTTGGACCATTCAAAAGAGCTCGTTTTTTCTGGAAATTCAGACTGAAATTTGTTGATTAAACCAACTAAAATGATGATATAGGAGGTATATTGTGGAGATATAAGTTATAGCGACTTCACCAGGGCTTCAGGATGTTTTTTTTTTGATCGGCTGGGAAACTATTCCCAGCAAAACTTTTTTGGTTTATTGGGGATATTAACCAACCAGTATAGTGGGATGACATTTCTGGTTTTGAACGCTGTTCATTTGAATCATTTTGAATCCAAAAGATCCGATGGGAGCTTTCACGGAGTTTACCCTCCGGTAAATTAATATATCTGGGTAAATTATAACGACCTCACTGCGACCTCACCGGAATAATGGTTAGCAAGGGAAATCATCCCCAAATTGCCTTGATTCAGGTTAGTGAAATATTATAATTTACCCAGATATATGGCTATTGAAAATGGCCCATTGGTAGTTGATTTACTGAAGAAAAGTGGTGATGTTCCATAGTTTTTTGATGTTTTTGGTATGTTTACCAGAGGGTAACTATTGATTTGGTTCTGAGCCAAGCAGCAAAACATGGCACGTTCACAGCAAATCATCGGTCGGTGGGATGTTGTAGGGATGATCGGATGGTCTTTCGCTCGCAGCATTATGGTCTAAAATTATGGTGATACCAATGGGTTTATTATGGTTTATAGGAAATGTTATATATCTCTATGGTTTATAGGAAGTGGTTCATTATGGTTTATGGTTTTCCATGGAGGAATATATATATATACATATATACAATTAAATTATTTATATCGATACATATTGTAGAAATCATGTTGTGTTGCCTTTCTGGATTTCGCGTGGCCATCCAGATGGTCCCTAGTGTGATCCTGGGTAATTTCAAGCGATATCTGCTACTCCCTCCTAGGACTTCAACATGTCATGAAATCCATAGGAATTCAGGTTGTCTGGACGGTTTATGATGGCCACAATTATTGGATGCTACAATTTGCAGCCTATGAGTACGATTAGTTTCATTTTTTCCGCTGTGCAGATGTTAATTCTTAGGGCAGCTTGTACCTTGTACGTCCTTGTACGTCCTTGTACAGTGAACCACCACATAGTCTTCACGCCAGACTTCGTATATCAATTTAAATCATGGATTGGTTTAACAATTGGATCCCTTACTAAGTAATAAGTATTGATCCCTTACTACATCATAATACTGCTTGGTGGTTTGGAACATTTTTTTTTATTTTTCCATCATATATGGGATGTCATCCTTCCCATTGACTTTCATATTTTTCAAGATGGTGAAAACCACCAACCAGAATACCACCACATATTTTGCGGCCCATGGATGACTTCTACTCTCCCAACGTCTGTGGAATGCTCCCCCCATGCCCGGCTCCACCAGGACATGACAGAAACGTCGTCGGCAGCTTAGGTTGACCGTTTGTAGCTTGTCCCCGCTAATATTCGATACCCCATCTTAATAGGATATTTATGAAATATTAATGGGATATTCATGGAATGGAATATTGCTGGGATACGAGCAAGATAATAATCAAATATCACTGGACTCACCCTCCGGTGCCATGTTTGACATGGCTGGAGAATCCCCGAACTACCAGAGGGTGGGTAGCCCCAGAAAGACACGGAGATTAATGATGGGAATCTATGAAAAGTAGAGTAGCTAGATTAGCATATTTATAATTTATATGTATAACCATATATATATAATATATATATATACATATATATATATACATATATAATATATATGGAGATGAGTCCAGGAGCCTCTGGGACCCTTTTTTGTTGGATGAACACCCATCAATCCCAGCTATTCTATTACCAGAATGCCAGGAGTTCGAGTCCAAGTCAAGTTGAGCGCAGGTTGATGCACTGATGATTAGCCATGAAATGAAGGAATGAATCAAACATATGGGGTGTCCAATTTGATCCATCATGTAGATATGCTGGTTGGATCTGGTTGGTGGTTTCAAACATGTGTATTTTTCCATAATATATGGGATAATCCGTCCCATTGACTTTCATATTCTTCAAGATGGTTAAAACCACCAACCAGTATGGCTTGGCAATTATAAGCGAGTCATTTTGTTGGATAGCAGGAGTGAGTGAAAATCTGAACTGACGACTGTGTCAGTTCAGCATCTCCGGCCTGTAATCATTTCCAGGCTATGACACTCTTCACGTGCAAAAAAGACAGCAAAACTGTGTTTCCAGTATGTATCCGATGTCTCAGAACCTTTTTTAGACCCCACGAGAAAAGTTGGACTTTTTGAATACTAGGATGATCGATGATGATAGGTTATTCCAATGGATTCCAATGATTTTTCCACAAGATTTATATAGAGGTTTCCTTAAACAGGCAACCCCAATGGACCCATTTTTGTTGGCCCAGGCCTGGTGCTGATGAAGAGCTTCGGTGGGGTTTCCCGAGAATGGAACCTAGGGTAAACTAATGGTTAATGATGGTCATATATAATGGTAAATAATGGTTAATAGTGGCTAACAATATTGGTTCATAGTGGTTAATAGTGACTAAATAATGACAAAATCATGGCTAAATCATGAAAAATAATGGCTATAATAATGGTCCATACTGGCATATCTCATGGAATACCCTCCTGTCACCAAATATAGACGTGGCCGAAAAAAACACCAAACATTTGTGGATCGTTTTCCTGTGTGGTTTCACCATGGCTTTTCCACATTTTTTTTAAACGTAGGATGCCTGTGGGATAAACCCATGGGTAAATCCTACTGTATGGTGGGAATGGATCAGTTGGTTGATTATTATAGGATACCCTCTGGTAAACATACAGTTTGCATCAGTTTGCTATGGAAGCCATGGCCCATAGAAATAGATGGTTTACCTATGAAAAATGGTGATTTTCGATGGCGAACTGTTACAGTAGTCATTACCAGAGGGTACCATTCAAGGGACGAAGCTTTGAACACTGCTTATGTGGGAATGGATCAAGACCTATAAATCTATAAATGAACATGTACTGAACTGACACGAATCTATATTTGGGGGAGATGAACATATAATTCCCAGCTATTTTCATGTGAACTACGGGGGTGTAGGGGGTTTGACACAAGCCCATGTTTGACAGATCCTTCCTGTGCATGTTCCCTTGACATGGCCCACGGTCAACTAACCGACCCGGTCGCCATACTGTCAGAATACACACCAGAAGTCAGAATATCTATGCCATATTTACTTCCAGAGGATATGTCAGAAACTATGTTGGATCACTTGAACTACGGTAATTTTGTTTGTAAAGTATAGAAGCCCACACATTTGGGTTAAAGGATGACTTTGTTGCAGGCAATGCTTCCATTCCCAGTCTGCAAGTATGAACGAAATAAAGGAGGCAAAAAACACGTGTTATATGTCAATAGTTGTTTGATAACAACATTGTTCCATCGTAGAAATCCCGAACACTGTTCCACATTTGTTTCGTACGGTTGCTTGTTCTTTTCCCAGCATATCGAGGAGGATTCCCATCCTCTCATTATTAAATTCCGACATGTGGGCCCTGAAAATGATGGGGTGCAAAACTAAACCAAGATGTCAAGGAGTTGTGTTCAATACTAAGGCGGAGGTGGATTATACATACGTTCAGGTATTATTTGAGGATGACTATGATATACATATATACATATATATATATTTAACTGTTATACAATATATCCAGGAAGCATATCTATCGTATCACCAATCGCCGCCTTAGTCGCCTTTCAGGACTTGGCGCATTCGTGCGCTGCAGGCTGAGGCTGAGGTTCGGCCTTGAAATCCGGCTGGGGATTTCGATGAGAAGATGCGGGCTTCATGGCCAACCATGCTGGTTGATGTTTTATGTCGGTTGAACCAGATGAGTTTGGATAAGTTTCGGATGCTTCAATGCATGAGTTGGATGCCCAGAAAAAAACAAGTTTAGCTCAGGGATTCAACGAACAAGATTGTTTTCTGGCTTGTCCAAAGTGAGTCAATGGGAAGTGATTTTTATAAATCATCAGGGTCAGTCTTGTAATTAATCATTCCACAGGTACATGGCGAGACATTGCCATTAAGAGAAACTGTGTTTACGGACTGATATGGTGAGGTTTTCACTGATATGGTGAGGTGAAGATGAGCTACTGTAAGTGCAACATCTTAATTAGTCAAGATAGTCGGGGTCCTCACTTCTCCATACTTCTCCATACTCCTCCCATTTTTTGGAGACATCTTATAATTACACATGATATAACTCAGTATCAGTTGAGCATTGTCCAAGGTCTATCCCATCATACCTTGAGTTCGGAGACTGCCAGGTTCGTTCATTGAAGCGTACCAGGTGGGATCCCTCAAACGGAAGCCGGGGAACGTTCCGAAAGGGTTGAGCTTCTTCGCTTTGGGTGAACTGTGAGAAGCTGACTCATTTTGCATGGGTGAACCTGAACATGGATGTTTTCTGATGTTTCAAATAATATTATATATATATATATGTATAGAATCATATACATCCATATATATATATATGTATACATATGTATATCATGTACAATTATATATACACAATAATTTTGATATGTTTGCAATGTTTTCCAGTTTGATAATTGATATGACCAGAATCCGTGGTTTCCTGCGTCAAATTTGACTGTACGCATTTCATCCAGATGGCTTCAAGTTTGTCGAGCAGGAAAAAACAGTCTTTGAAGATGATATGAGGTTGCCCTCTGGTAAACTAACATGGCTATGGAAAATAGGTAAAATAGGTAAAACATTTACAAACGGTCCATTATACATAGCTATGTTAAATGACCAGAGGGTATACCAACTGTGAGTGGTGTGATGGGGATGATCATCATCGTTTACAGGAATACCAACCCAGCCATCCACCCACCCAAGTAACCAACGCAGGCCTCTGCAGGGTGAGTCCGAGACGCGCCGGCCTCAGATATTCGGATTTTCTGGCAATTCTTGACTTCTATGTGTATGAAAATGGGGGTATGCCCCACCCAAAACTGCAACACACAAATGGCTATGGATCAATACCTATACATACCATTTTTAGGGGAATGAACATCCATTTACCAGCTATTTTGATGTTCACCAGGGGTACAAGCTTTTGACACACTGCCAAATAGGAACATGATGTTTTCAACATGTTTCAACCATCACATTTTGGGCCGTTCCCCGACGTTGAAAAAACCCACGGCCGTTCAGTTTCGGCCGTGGCCGAAAGACGAGGAGCCGTCCCGCGGATACGCGAAGAGAGGCGAGGATTTCACCAACGAAATCTTGGGGAATTAACGTGGAGATATGTTGGGATCTATGTCACCATATGATGCCTGGGTGTGTCTTACAATGGCAGATGGTGCACATTCCCTAAATCGGCCCGTTTGATTGTGAAAATGATGATTTTCACCGTATTTTTTGGGGTACAGTAGTTTCAGATAAACCAATGTTAGGTATGATGATCCATACCTTGATATTATTCAAGAAATTTGACTCCACCAGCTCGGGCCATGGTGGATGTTCGGTCGCCATTTTTGATTACCGGAGGGTATATACTATTACTGTTGGAACATGTTTTATTTGTCCATATATTGGGAATAATCATCCCAACTGACCAGATTACTATTCTCACATTCTACTGAAGATCAATTGTATCTTGCAAGGTTGCAAGGTTGGCCAGCCATGGGTGCATGACCGATCCTACGGGGGATAGTAAGCGTCAAGTATCTCTACTACCATCAGCAACCATGGTATCGGCTCCTTTGAATATTCCTAGCACTTGAGATAGTACTGACTAAGATTCTTCCAAGTGTTGCATTACCTCGGTGAACTCGTATTTTGCTAGTCAACTTGGTCATTACAGTGCCCAAAACTTGTATGTCAGTCCGGATGCTGATTTTTGGTTCGCTACTACACCAAGAGATACCAAGAGGGATTATGGTGTTGTGATAGCTAGCTGCAAAACTGATACAATGAACCATGTATTTGGGACGTTCTGTTTAAATCAAAACTACTCGGTGTCTATTTTTTCAGGGTTCAGAAAAGTGCTGACGGCCTACTATCTCCGTTGGGTTTGTCTGAAAATTTGGTACCCCAAAAAGTCACTTTTTTCCGCCTTTGACTTTAGTGCAGTGTGACAGCGGTAGAGACAACCAGCTACGCGTGAAATCCCCACCAATGATTGTGATCATGAATTAGAAAAAAAACAACCAACAAATTCAGGGTACCCCAAAAGTCTATGGTTCATGATCCTTTTGCTATTGAAATTACCTGGAATTGGGTGTCCATACCCCATTTCCAGACAAACCCATTCACTTTTCCATGGACGGGGGTTTGATGGATTTCCTCTGCTGCAGACTTCTCGTGTGGACTTTGGCATGCAAACCGAGCTCGTTGAAACTGACGCTCGCCGACATGTCATGTAGGTCACCCGGGATCGTGATGATAACATGGGAACATGTTGGAAAGCTTGGGAACATGTTGGAAAGCTCAGAGGCTCAGAGTCCAAAACTATAAGATCTATAAGGTGGTGCGCCCAGTGATAAGTTGGTTTATAGACGCCACCAACATCCATGAACTGTCTACCATGATAGGTTACCTATAGTTCCAAACCATTTCAGCTATCTTAGGCCCGGGGATGGGGCCACCATTGAGTCTAGTCTTGAATTTTCAATACGTTGCCCCGACTCATCTCACTGGTAGAAAGACCTACTACCCTCTGGTAATTTAACATAGCTATTGAAAATGGCCATTTATAGTGGATTTTCCCATTAACCATGGTGATTTTCAATAGCTATGTTAAATTACCAGAGGGTAATTCACAACAGTTTTACTATTTTGGACCTCAAACAATTCTCATGACAAGATTTGCAGGCTCAAGTTGTTGTGGACATGCCCGAATCGGTGACGCGTCTGAACATGCGGATAACTCGATATATGATATGTATGGACACTTGGACATGAACAAACTTGGCCGTTTACAACCATGGGATTTGGATGGATTTGGAGTACTCCATTTGTATGGTAAAAAACGAATGTACTCAACACATCCAAATACTAGTTGGTAGCGTTTAATATGATCAACCCTATTGAGATGCTGATTCCATCTGATCAGTTTTCAGGGGGCTCAAGCATCAACCAGCTCTGATGGTCAAATCCACATGTTCATGGGGTAACGCAGTGTAGTAACACACCATAAATAGCCAGATGATGGTTGGACCCCCACCCCTTGTGCCGCCATTTTTTGTTGGTGAAATACCCGTTTCTAGTATGATTGCTATTAGTTTTTTGTACTAGTACTCGTACTACTACTATTAGCAATACTATTCACTATTTCTGTTGATTACTTTTCATACACATCAACATCAAAATTTTATGTTCACCATCAGACATGCCATTATACGATTACTACTACCAATTGCTAATATTAGTTCCAATTACTGTCACTGATGCTTTTCCCAAACTCCCAATTATATACTATGTACTATATATTAGTACTACAGTGTGGCACCCCATAGATAGCTAAGTCGGTTTATGATTTCAATAACTAGGGTTGATTATGGGGATATAACGAACTAGTTAAAGGTGATTAGTAACCAACAAACATCACTGGGGGGAATCACCAATTACTATGTACTGTTGGTATCTGTTGGTAATGTGGGAAACCCACTGCAATAAACTACTTGGGGATAGTAGAAATTGCACCCGTGGATGGTGGATTTTGGGGATGGTTTATGGCATGGGCTTTAACAAAATTAAATCATAATTGGCGGCCATGGATTACTTCTATGGAAAATGGCCAAGTTCAATAGCAAACTGTGGCTGTTTACCAGAGGGTATGGATATATGTACCATAAATGTACCATAATATCATATTATCAACCATAATTATCACTATATTCTGGTACGATTTACCAGAGGGTAACACATTTATCGATCGCCTGAGGTGGACGAGTTCCATGCCGAAGCCCGTGAGAGGTGCGGAAAACGCCGAGATGCCGAGATGCGGCCGCTGCAAGAAGTGGGGGAAGAGCTGGGAAAAATGCTGGAAACTGGCAGGAAAACAGTTTTTTTTTTGAGGAAAACCCGAGAAAACTGTGGAAAATTCGGCGAGAAGCTGGAAAGATGAAATGTTTCTGCAATTTTGACCAACAGAAATGGATAGAAATGGTGGGTTCCTTGATCATTGTAGGGTTACCAAATACAGAGAAAGCGGTCGCTTGAAATGGTGAGATTAAAACACTGTGACATGGTTGCCCCATGGTCAAGCGTGATATCCCAGATGATACCCTGTGCAAATATAAACTGGCCACTGAAAACATCATTGTATAAACAACAACTATGTATGCAACTCCCGAAAAAGATTGCTTCGCAAAGACAAAAAAACTAAAATCCACATATGCAATTTTGCGGGGCCATCGTTCACATGTCATCTCGAACACATCGATGGCATCATAATTGTCATATGGCATCTAAACATGTAAGTATATAGATATTCACGACTGCGGACAGGGTTTGTCCAAGATGGGGTACCTAAAAAGATGCCATCTAAACCAAATAGATGGCATCTACCCAAATATATTGATATTCATGACCGTGTAAAGTGGTTGTCGAACAATGGGGTATACAGGTCAGGTTACGGGAGGGTAACCATCATTTGCTCACCCAGTGAATCTAGTATAACTGTCTTAAGAACCAGGCAAATGATAGTAAAATGTTCCTCATTATATAATTAGTTTTGATGCTGATTATTTTGCACCATTTTTGCTTCACATCTCCATAAAACCCTTCATAAACCCATCATAAAACCTCAATAAAACATCATGAAACCACCATAAACCCACGATTTTGGTTGGTCAACTGCTCCCATTTCTGCCAGATCGCAGGTTAAGGAGTTCGCCTGTCGGCTCAGACTCGTCTCCCCTGTCGGCCACTGGGCGTGAGGCGGAGAGACGGGTATCAAGAAATTGGTGCTAGTTACACCGTAACTGGGTCAATTTCGGTTACCCTCTGGTTATTTAACATAGCCATGGAAAATAGCCCATTTGTAGATGGTTTACCCATTAAAAATGGTGATTTTCCATGGCTATGTTAAATAACAAGATGGTAGATGTACTAACCAGCTATGATGGGTTACATTTTGCTATCAATAGTTGCTTCGAAATTTTGGGTAAGATGCGAACTAGATCGAATTTGTACTTTAATATATCTTGCTATCAATGGTAAAATGCACTAACCAGCTAAAGATAGACTCTTTTTAGCAGGTATTTAAGATTCACCATGATAAAACCACCAATCATGCAACAATTATGGGGATTGAATAGGATATACAATGAGTAGATTCTGTTTTTCATGGTAACTTAATGGATTTTTTACAATAATCCAACAAACATAGTAAGGATTGACTGGATTTATATTGTGACTATCATAGTGGGTAGAATTTTTACCATATAATGACATATAATGACGTTTTGGGTATATTATGGGATTGTATGGGGATATTCCCTGGGATATGTCATGGAACATATAGTTGCAGTATTCAACTTGACAAGATTGCTCGGTCTGTATGAAAATGGTTGATACCCTCTGGTAAACTAACATAGCTATTGAAAATTGCAATAGAAATAGTGGATTTACCCATTAAAAATGGTGATTTTCCAGTTCGCTATGTTAGTCATTACCAGAGGGTAGCTCCAAATTGCTGTTTTCATATCGTTTTAACAGCATAAATGATGATGAACCATCAAATTTCTGGAACCATCATATTTCTGGGCACTGTTTTCCCCTGAATCTAATTATCATGAAGATATTCATGTAATTTGAAGATATAGAATAGAATTGACAATATGTTTGTTTGGTTTGTCCAAGAATTGGGTAAATGTACTACAAACATGCTATTGTAATGGAGATCATGATATTACAAGTGTTGCCAGCGACACATCCGCACTCCGACCCATTGTGCCAAGGAAATCGAAGAGTCTGAAGCTGAATGATGGGAGGCATGTGGTGGGTAAAACCTTGTTGAACCGTAGGTCAGTGGGTTGTTTTGGTTTTGTTTTTACATTGGGGGATCCCCAAGTCACCATAGGTTTCAATACTAAAATTGTCCAATGACTTGGATGATTTGGGGGTAGCCCCATGACTCAGGAAAGCCCCATCTCACCATATTACTTGGTGACATCAATAGATCTGACCAGCCGGGATGCTGAGGTTGAGACAACAGTTGAAGCAAAGAGACACGGCCATTGTGCAGCTGCAGGCGTGACACATTTCACAACCGGGAGCCCGAAGCTTCTGTCATTGCGCGTACTGGGAGTCCTGAGATTGGATGGCTCTGGACTAGTTGCATTTAGTTGCCAAAAACAAGGTGGGACCCCCAGTTTCGGTAGCTCAGTTGGTTGAAAGAACTAGTAACTAGCTGAATTCGATATATCGAACTAGAAAGGTAAACCCTATGATATATAATAGACAATCTCCAATATTGCCATAAATGGGTTCCAAACGAAACATCCCCTACAGGTTTATTGTTCTTATTGGTTTTACCACAGTAGCTGGGGTAAAAATACCAACAACATCCAACAACACACCTTAGGTGCACCACCCTGTGGAACGACCCATAGCTTCCTTGTATCTCCAGATCAGCTCAAGGCTCACCAGGGAAAAAAAGGAGTTTGACACGTATCCAAATGCAATACATGATCATATATGATACATCACGTGTGTGACCTCGCATATTTATGTTTTTTTTTTAAATGTATGTATATTTGAGTTTTTTCTTTATATGCCAAACATATGCATTTCAGTTTAAAACACAAGCTTTGCATGGTTTACATGATATCATGATATATCATGATATCATATTACTGTATGATACTATATGGAGGTTTCCCCTGAAAAGTGGAGGTATCCCCAGTTTCGATGACCACGACTCGTATTGCAACCACGCTGTGCCACGCTGGGGATCCCGACCGAACAGGCTGACAGCCATCGCGAGCACCAGTCGAAGCAGCGCAAAGCCGTGGAGTGCTTCGGCTGATGGGCGAACCATGGAGTTAATAACGGCTAATAATTAATGGTTAATAATTAACGGCTAATAATTAATGGCTAATAATTAATGGTTAATAATTAACGGCTAATAATTAATGGCTAATAATTAATGGTTAATAATTAACGGCTAATAATTAATGGCTAATAATTAATGGTTAATAATTAACGGCTAATAATTAATGGCTAATACATAATGGTTAATAATTAACGGCTAATAATTAATGGCTAATAATTAATGGTTAATAATTAACGGCTAATAATTAATGGCTAATAATTAATGGTTAATAATTAACGGCTAATAATTAATGGCTAATAATTAATGGTTAATAATTAACGGCTAATAATTAATGGCTAATAATTAATGGTTAATAATTAACGGCTAATAATTAATGGCTAATAATTAATGGTTAATAATTAACGGCTAATAATTAATGGCTAATAATTAATGGTTAATAATTAACGGCTAATAATTAATGGCTAATAATTAATGGTTAATAATTAACGGCTAATAATTAATGGCTAATAATTAATGGTTAATAATTAACGGCTAATAATTAATGGCTAATAATTAATGGTTAATAATTAACGGCTAATAATTAATGGCTAATAATTAATGGTTAATAATTAACGGCTAATAATTAATGGCTAATAATAATAATTAACGGCTAATAATTAATGGGTTAATAATTAAATAATTAATGGCTAATAATTAATGGTAATAATAATTAACGGTAAATAATTAACTAATAATTAATGGCTAATAATTAATGGTTAATAATTAACGGCTAATAATTAATGGCTAATAATTAATGGTTAATAATTAACGGCTAATAATTAATGGCTAATAATTAATGGTTAATAATTACGGCTAATAATTAATGGCTAATAATTAATGGTTAATCTTAACGGCTAATAATTAATGGCTAATAATTAATGGTTAATAATTAACGGCTAATAATTAATGGCTAATAATTAATGGTTAATAATTAACGGCTAATAATTAATGGCTAATAATTAATGGTTAATAATTAACGGCTAATAATTAATGGCTAATAATTAATGGTTAATAATTAACGGCTAATAATTAATGGCTAATAATTAATGGTTAATAATTACGGCTAATAATTAACGGCTAATAATTAATGGCTAATAATTAATGGTTAATAATTAACGGCTAATAATTAATGGCTAATAATTAATGGTTAATAATTAACGGTTAATAATTAATGGCTAATAATTAATGGTTAATAATTAACGGCTAATAATTAATGGCTAATAATTAATGGTTAATAATTGACGGCTAATAATTAATGGCTAATAATTAATGGTTAATAATTAATGGTTAATAATTAACGGCTAATAATTAATGGCTAATAATTAATGGTTAATAATTAACGGCTAATAATTAATGGCTAATAATTAATGGTTAATAATTAACGGCTAATAATTAATGGCTAATAATTAATGGTTAATAATTAACGGCTAATAATTAATGGCTAATAATTAATGGTTAATAATTAATGGCTAATAATTAATGGCTAATAATTAATGGTTAATAATTAACGGCTAATAATTAATGGCTAATAATTAATGGTTAATAATTAACGGCTAATAATTAATGGCTAATAATTAATGGTTAATAATTAATGGTTAATAACGATTAACCACGGTTAATAACGGTTAATAACGGTTAATAATGGTTAATGATGGCTAAATAATAGTTTATGCTGCGATAGTCATTGGAATATGTCATGGGATACCCTCCTGCAAACCGCGCCAAAAAAGGTGTGGAAAACCCACCATGAAAGTATATATATATATATACATCATGTTCCGAACGGGAAACCCTGGGTATTCCACATATTTATTATGTATATACATATATATATATATGTATAATATATTTATATATATATATATATATTTACATATTACAGTAGTTTACCCCAGAGTATAAATACATGATGAAGTAAGCCAAAGAAATGTGTTACCCCAGCAAGAATGAAGAAACTTCCAGGATTGAGCCACCAAAATGATGATGTCAACAAAGAAAAGTGACTGGGTGAAATTCACATAGACCCTGAACTTCCGACCTTTGGGACTTCATTGGGGTGATTGTGATATGTAGACCTTATGAAACATGGCTGGAAGCTTTTTCAGGATCAGGGTTGTCCTAGGTTGCTGGTTGATACTGTGCCATGATCAAAAATTAGACTAGTTGAATTGCAGAGCCATATTAGGGTACGGTCAATCCCATGTTTGTTTCGCTCAACTCAGATTTCCTGAGACAATTTCACCTAGCAACAGGCCTAGTTGCTTGATGAGGCAACAGCAAATGTACCTCGAAGAGCTCCGCGAAATGACTCAGCGCAGGGGAGCTCAAGTTCCTGAATGCAGCGTTCTGTACAATGTTGAAGATGTTTGTTGTTATGCATCTTTGGCTATATCTTGCTATACATAACATTTTGGTGGGCTCACTCATTCTTTTTGGCCTAAATCACCATATATTGATGCCCTGGGGATAAACACACATATATAGATGTGGAATACATGTTGGGCTTTCCAAGTCTATGTGAACGTTTACAGGATGGTACTTGAAAGGAATAGAAAGTACAGATTTACTGTAAATCCTCTAGCTTTGGGGCCAATCACGTATTCTCAGATGAGAGCCAACGGTCTTGGTAAAGCTAAGTGGTGCAGGAAGCTCCTCCCATTGTGATGTTTCTTGGTTTAGAACACCTCATCTAACTACAGGTATGCACAAAAAAAACACCGGTTAGCCGGTTAGCCTAGTAAGCAACTCACCTGCCTAGGGGACTGTGAAGAAGTACCAGCAGTGATATGCCAACAAATCAGGAGGGGATTCAAAAAGCATCGCCTTCCTGGGATGATAGCTGAAGTACTGTAGATGGTGAGTGACTGGATTACAACCCCTGGGATACAGTGGGATATACCAACAAACTTGAGTTGACCAGATTCACACTGGTACCATTGAGATACCATTGAGATAGCAGTTTGGAAGTGGATCTAAAGTTGGATATACCATTGCACTCCACTTCCAAACCATTGCTGTACTGCTGCATCTGCTCGATCAGGCGCTGAATCCCTCATGGATCAACTGCGCAAGTCGAAGAAGAGCGGAAGAGAGCTGCAAGCCGCAGACCTCAGGGGGATGCCGGAAGGGTGGGGAATTGTTGCCTTCTAATCCCATACCCCGAAAATGATTCACGCCTCTGGAAATAGTCCCAATTGTGTGGAAACCCCCTACTAAGCCATGGTTTTTACAAGGTGGTGCCCCCCAAGTTATAAGCTTGTTTATAATCCCATTAGCTATAGATATATCTACCATAAGTCCTACGGTAGTTATTAGAGTTATAAAAACCAATTTAGCTATCTTGAACTTGGGGGCACCACCTTGTAGGGGGTGTTTAATATAAGGGGAAATGAGTTTCTATAGCTCTTGACTATGAGGATCTCTGTGGACTGAGATTTTCCATCGTTGAAACCACCAGCTGTGTGATGGTTGGCTTAAGCGAACCTGTTGGGGCATCACGAATCCCTGAGTATCACCAGCATGATGCAATTCAGGCCAAGCACACAATATGTATATATATAATTTTATATATATACATACCTACCTACCTACCTACCTACCCACCTACCTACCTACGTACGTACGTACGTACATACATACATACATACATACATACATACATGTATATATATATAGACATATATACATATCATGAATATATCAAAATATACTGTACCCTCCAGCAAACTAGCATATTCGATGGAATCCAGAATTTCTAGAAATGTCCAAAGAGTTGCCGACTATGTTAGTATACTGTGCGGGAGATACACACCTTCGACTCCCAGTGAAGTTCTTGAAGTCCTTGAAGTCAGTGGAACAAAGAGCTCCAATCATTGGATTGGTTGAAGGAAAAATCTACAGGAAACCATGGATTCCCCCATTAACTATGGGGCTTTCCTGTAAATTTTCCCCTAAACCAATCCATTGAACATAGGAACCTTTCTTTTTGGTTAACAACACATGATGCATTCTGAATCTCAAGTCACTGAATTTAGCAGCTTCTTTTTTTCTGAAAAATACATGTTTATGGAAATTATCCAATCACTTAATATCAGTTATATATTACAGATGTGCCATGTGCTATGGTTTTCAGTTGGTTGGATGGTCATCAATCAAATGTCATAGGGATTTACATACCCATGATGTTGGGATTCCCAATATAGGATGCATGACCAGTGTCATAGCCGATTGATCCCATTGTTTGACCCTAGCAGAGCACTGCAGAGCTGTATTTTCCATATTTCTATTCCAGATTTCCTGAATAAGCATATGGAAAACAAAAAACATCAGTATACCATGTAAGAATTAATACAATAATGTGGGTAAAAAAAATGCCATAAACCATCCCCCAGTCATCACCATTTTCATAGGTGGTATATACCTAGCCATTCCCAGTCATTTGTGGTTTATCATTGTTTACCCATATTAATCCTCAAAACCACCATTAGTGGTTGTAAATAACTATTTTTGGATTATAATCACTATTAATCACTATTAACCACCATTGATGTGTTTAACCACACTAGTTTGATGATTGCCCTCAGCCTAGCCCGAAATTGCAGGTTTTGTCCAGGGAACGCTCTGGATTTGACCACCATTAACCACCATTAACCACCATTGATGTGTTTAAAAGATACCATCACTACCACTTTCCTATGGCCCCCGCGTTCGACACTGACCGCGACGCGAGGCGGCACGCGAGGCGGCCCGGGACGAGTTCCTGACGGCGCGCTGCGAACTGCAGGAGTGTCAGGCCGGAGGTGGATGAGGTCGTCCGGGATCTGTTGAGAAATGGTGAGAAATGATGGACACTTATATGTTGGTGCAATGTCATAAACAACAACAACAACAACAACACCAACAGCAGCAGCAACAGCAACAGCAACAACAACAGCAACAACAACAACAGCAACAACAACAGCAACAACAACAGCAACAACAGCAACAGCAACAACAACAACAACAGCAACAAAAACAACATATAATATATATGTTATATTATGTTATATTATATGGCAACGTTTTGGGTTTACGCCACATGGGGACCTTACATGGTTTACCTAAGTCGCTTAGGAACACTTGGATGACCGCATGGTCGGAGAAACAGGACCAATCAATGGATGGTTTTTCCCCCAGTCATCTGGTAGTAATAGAGTTTGACCCATAACCAAATGATGGATATTAACGGGTTTAAGAATGAATAATGGATCTTTAAAATATTAGTTGGCATGAATGGATCCTGGATATGATATTCGATTTTATATAAAGGATATGGATAGGGATTTGATACGTTTGAATATGCTGGATATATATATATATATATAATGTAATATCATGATGAATAGGTTGATATTGGAAGATTTGAGTTAATATTAATCAAAACATGGATGTGGCTGGCCTGGCTGGCTGGATAATCTCATGAGAATATCTTGAAAAATGATTGAAGTTGTTTACCCTGAGGAAGAGACACTTCATTAATTCACAAGCCTGGAATGAACCATTTGGGGTATATGAAATATCCGTCACTATGCAGGAAGACAGACTGGTTTCTCTACCGCATTCCATCCAGTGGTTTTGAAGTTTGAACAATGGGATTCATGGCCATACCCAAGCGAAAATAATCTTCCAAAGCCGTCGGTATTTTTTTGTGTTCCATGTGTGCCATGGTCAAGTCACATGGTGGGATGGGCATCCCCTAGAAATAGGAATGTTTACATACTGTATAGGGTATACATCTATAATAATATATATATATATATATATCATAAATATATACATATATATATGTATATATTTACATATCACAAATAAACACAGTATATAATGCATGTGTATATATACTGTATAGATTTATACTTATATATGTTTATTAATTGGGAATCCCATTCATGGTGGTGGGATGACCACGGGTTTCATTAATTTCATGTAACTTGATCAATCACAGTCCAATATAGACCCTGCCCCCACAGTCAGGGCTTGAAAGGTTGTTTTTCCTTTAAAATTGGCATCTGTTTTCACTTGTCAATTTAAGGGCAATTATTACTTTCATATTAACATTATTGTTTCACATTATTGTAATAGTCAAACTGTGAATTTGCTGGAGGCTAACAATGTGCACGCTCCCGTCAGGCGCAGCTTCGAAGACAAGTCTTTGTCACTGGGACGTTTAGGGGCAATGACTTTGTGAAGGAACTGCATGGTTACTTTTAATATTTTTTGATAGTTTTACTATACCCTCTGGTAATCTAACATAGCTCCGGGATTTCACCATTTTTTGAACAATATCACAGAAGAACATGGGGTATGGTTTCCGTAGTTAAACGTTAAATTTCCAGGGGGGGAATTGGGATATATATATATATATGCATATATGTATATATTTATATATATATACATACACAATTAAATAATATTAAATATACAATTAAATTTACATATATAGATACACGTATCCATATACATATACTTTTACATATATACATACTTAACCAACAATTTTGTTTATGGGTCTTGCAGGGTATCTAAGATTGGCCAAGATAGACCCTAGCAGATCGATTGGAGGAGGAGATTGCTAGCCCCATGAAGCCTATAGTTAGAGGGGTGTTTAAACTTTCGCGTGGTGAAACAAAGAATGAGCTCATCAACCAAGTCCAGATGATCATGAATTGTTTTTTTTTTAAACTTTGGGAAGTAAGATAAATTGAAGTTACACAGTGGTTGATGTGTTTTTTGTGCTACAAAAGCCTCACTCTGCAGCAGCTACTCTGTTGGCAGTTGAATTGTCTTCCAAGGAAGTATATTGATCAGGATGTTGGTATGAGTCAAGATTGTGTGTTTCAAAATGTTAGGTTCGTGATCACAGCTACTTGTTGCGTTCGAAGTTACTATTCCGTCCTTAAACATGGCACCAGATTTACCTCAGTATTTTGCTTAGGGGAAAAGGTCGGATCCTCTACACTTAAAACCGGTTTTGGAGCCGTGGGGCGATCACATCATGTCCCGAAGCTTCGGTTCCGGAGATTTGTGGTATATTATTTTCACTTTATGTTTATATAGAATATTATATATATATATATACATATTAATATATTATATATATATTGCATATGTAAATATACTTAAATTCCTGTTTATCATGTTCCTATTGAGTTGGACTTGAGAGTGGGTTTCCCTTTCCCTTTCCACCGATGACAACGAGAAGTGCCACTTTTCATTTTTGCAAAGCTGCAGTCTCTTTGGGAAAGGTGAGTATAAATGCGACACAACGAATAAACAAGTTGGGCCAATGCCACAAATTGAAGGCTACAACCGGACACATCCGAAGCAGCTGACATACAAATTTATCTAGACAAACTGTCCAGATGGACCGCTGGGTCGTGCCTTTTCAGAGAGGAGATAAGAGGAGCACAAAATGCAGAGGGTTGGTTTATGTTTTAATGGGGGTAAAACAATCATAAACCATCATAAACCACTCATTTGGGAACAAACATACCACTTATGTATGGTGATGACTGGGGGATGGTTTATAATTGTGTTACCCACATTCCAGTAACTCTTTTTTTTCAGGATATCACTCAGGGCAGGGGCCAACCAAGGTCACCCTTGCGCATTGCTCAGTCCTTGGTGATCCACTCAGGTTCCATCCCAAAGTACTGAGCCATCTGCTGGACGCGAGGTCGCTTGACTGCTGGGTTCAGCTGAGTCACCCGCGCTCAGATGTTGGCCGAAATAATTCATGATTATGCATGTAAAAAAAGAAAAACAGCATCATTATTGACATTGAATTGAGATGAATATGATTTCAACCGTTCAACATAGTCTCATGTCTATTTTCTTCATATCCTTGATTTGCTGAAGATGATTGCCTTACTTTCCCGACCAGAAATCCACTGGGACATGGGAATCCATGGGAATCCATGTTTGTTTCATTCATTTATTGAGGCTTCGGCAAATCTAAGTTGTCCCAGTCGCATCTTGACCAGTCGTCCCAGTTGACCAAGTCATCAAGTCTCACTTCGACAGGAAGCAGAGGCAGCGCTTGGAGACTCCGCAGGCGTCGGCAGGGCGGGATGGAAGAGATGAAGCGGAGCATTTCCTGGCCATGAAGCGGAGCCCCCCTTTGGTGATGAAAATGCCATGGATGGAGCAATTTAGGGTCTCTCTCTCTCTCTCTCTTTCTATATATATATATATATATGTAAATGTGTATATATATATATACACATATTATACATATATAATTATATATATATACATGATATATATATATATATAAATATGGAAAACCTGTGATAGTCGCAGAACCCGCTGCCACCTCAGAAATTTTCCATTCTGCCCTTCCGTTGGTGGTCAAATCCAGAGCGTTCCCTGGACAAAACCTGCGATTTCGGTCTAGGCTGAGGGCAATCATCAAACTAACGTGGTTAAACACATCAATGGTGGTGAATAGTGATTAATAGTGATTATAATCCAAGAATAGTTATTTATCACGACTAATGGTGGTTTTGAGGATTAATATGGGTAAAACAATCATAAACCACTCATTTGGCAATGGTTTATACCACCTATAAAAATGGTGATGACCGGGGGATAGTTTATTTTTGTTTTAAGCACATTAGTCATTCTAACAATCTCAAACAACAACATAACAAACGCAACATATATTTGGAATCATAGTTAATAATGGAAATCATCCACGAATGGCCAAAAAAGATTCAGGTAAGTGAATTATTGTCATTTACCCAGATATGCATATATATATCATACTGTGGATGGTTGCGACATCCTGCATCACCTTGTATGGATGAAAGCCTATAGTTAATGGGATGTTTTAACCACTTATCAACTGTTGATTTGGATTTCGCTGGCCCATCCACAGTATGTCAGGTGAAGCACTGGATCCCTGGAGAGGAGCGACAGCTTGGGACTGCCAGGGGGCCAGGGGTTCACTTCCAGCTTCATATAGATCTGTATATAGTCGTGTATAGTGATGTATAATGTAAATATATATATATATATATATATTAGTAAATATTGTATATATTTATATTTATATATATATAGTAAATATAGTAAATATATATGTATATATGTATATATATACAAACATTACATATTATGTGATTCATGTTTGTGCATGTAGTGTTGATACGATACCACCTATAGTATTTAACAATCCCCGAACGCCATTTCCGCAGAGAGCCGCTGCAGATTGGTTCACCCGGGCAGGACAAGCCAAAGTCGTGCAATCCTTTGGTACTCTGCGAAAGCGGGAGTGCCTGGCTGCGAGATCTATGTGTTTTTTTTTCAGGTCTATGTGTGACAACACGCCTGTGCTGGCAACCGCCTCAAACGTGGTTCATCTCCACAGCGAGGCTTCACTCTGATCTTTCCAAAGAGTTGCAGAGCCACTCGACCAGCCGAGGCGGAGAAACCGGTCTCCCCATAAATGATACTGGATCTTGGGGGAATCCCCAAAAAATGGTTAACATTATTTTGAATTATTTAGAGAATAGTGGCGATTATATGTGTAAACCACCAAAATACATCATGTTTTGTTCTTTCTCCGGATCTATTAGTAACAAGCATAAAGCCATTGATACCAACTAAAATGGGGGATTCGACCAAGAAAAAAACACATATCAACAATGTTGACTCCGTAAAGCTGGTTGGTGGCATGGTGTTTTTTGTGAATGCAACACATTGAATGATGACCCCACCGCAAAACTTGAGGGATACTTGCGGGTACAGGCCAAATATTGCCAAATTGTATGTATGATTTTATATATAATCTAATAATAAGTAATATATACAATATAATATAATATGTATATATATACAATATATATATATATACAATATATATATATACAATATATATATATACAATATATATATATAGTATATGTATGTATATATATAACATGTATATATAATATTATATATATTGTTTATACTCTATATATAATATATCATATATAAAATGATATAATATATATATATATTAATATTTATATATACATACATTTCAAATTATATATAGTACAGTATTTAATATAATATATAATATTATATGTAATATGTATATTTAATATTATAGGTAATATAATATAATATATATTTTAATATTATATATATTATTATATATAGTATTTCATATCTTGTAATATAATATATGTTTATGTACTGTATACGTATATCTTGAAAACTGAATAAATGATATATATATATATATATACATGCACATAAGCATATATGCATACTCTCAATGCTTGGGTTGAGACATGTTGATAGGAGAGCTGCGGTTGTGACAACATTTTAACAGGTTTTTCGGTATAGGATGTCGTCCTAAACTTGAGGGGTGTCCTCTCAACCCTTGGTTGTCCCCCGGTGTTTGCTTTGCCGCTTCGACTACAGTAGGAGGCAAACCGACCGAAGACGCAAGGGGGCCCAGCGGCGGTGGGGTCTCGTGAGTTTTTGCGCAGATGACCAATACGGACCAATACGATAATATGATGACTTATGATGCTAGGAGGGATAAACCCCTGCATCCCTCAGCAATTTTTGGATGACCTGATGTTAAGCGTGGAAACCAGTCCTAGATGTTCCGTTGTTTTTTTGGTGGCAACTGTTGGTAAATATATACGTGAATATGTTTGTATATATATATATGTATTATCAGAAACAGTACATGGAACATGTGGGTTGTTATTGTTCTTGGATCTCTGGATTGCATCGATCTGTATTTTTTTTGCTAGACTCAAGAAAACAGGTTTGAGGTCAGCTGTCAGCCAATAAAAAATGGTTTTGCCTCGGCATTTGAATGTTTCACAATATTTCATGATTGTCACATGTCGCATGGGTTGTTTGGACCTTGCATGGCAGGGAAAGGCTGTAAACGACTGTTTCTTGATGCCAGTCGTCAAACATTATATATATATACATCATAATTATTAATTATACCATAATTATGTAATTGTTTACCATTATTATATAGTTATACACCATGGTTGTACCATAGTTATACTATATTTAATTTAGAAAACCAAAGGAAACCAGCTGCATCCAACAAAATCATCCTTTCGGCAGGCCGTCTCGAGAATTCTCCAGCAGATGGACAAGGTGGGAAGGAGTCTTAAGCAGTTTTGATACACTGTATACTGCATGGGTAAACTCCTTGGTTGGTACAGGGTGGTGCCCCATAGTTAGCTAAGTTGGTTTATGTGTCCAATAACTATGGTTTATAGGTGATCTATCTATAGTATAATTGGGAGGGGCACCACCTTGTTATGTTATTTTTCAGCAGTTTTGAGCTATTGGGTAAAACACATAAGCTCGTGCTGATTGACAAGAATGCAGGGTGTTTGGGGTTATTTCACCAGCACAAAATGTGGAGTTGATTGGAATTCCGGCGTTCCCAAGCTGTGGGATAGCACCTGGAATACGTTGATCTGTTGCTGATGTTTTGTTATGTGGAGGAATAGTAGATTGAGGTTGGTCTTTAGCTGAATATTCAGCTTTGAGCCAGCCACAGGAGTGGGTTTGAAGTAAGATTACCAGAGGAAAACCAACACCTTTTTGACCAGTTAGTATAAGCCGGTCCTGACCATTCTCGGTGAATCTGCTGTGCTCATGGTTAGATGTTCATGTCAAATCATATATTGTTCCATAGCAAAATCACGGCTTCCCTGGTAAATCTTCGGGATGATTCTGCTGAATGGCTCTAGATGATGGACCACAACGACCAGCCTTCTGCAGGTTCATTGGTAATCACCTACGATCGATGGCCACATGATATCACGTGAGTGAACTGACCGATCATAAAACCGACGTCTGCGTTAGATAGTGCTAGAGTAATCTTCATTGTTGTTGATTATCAACCCCTCTTTCTGCTGGTAAACAATCCAAGTTTAGTTGGTCAAGATGCAAAATATAATCAATTTGGTCGCTACACATCAAAACATAATTGGTCATCAAGTTTTGTAGCAAAATATTCTTCAACCCCATTAATCTTACTAAAGTTTTCTAAAGCCATGTCATAAACCATCCTTTAAACAATTGATGGTTTCATGTTTCAATCCCAGCACCATCTATACATTTATATATTCATATAATATATATATATATATACATACCCTCTGGTTATTTAACATAGCCATTGGAAATGGCCCATCATTTATAGATGGTTTACCTATTAAAAATGGAGATGTTCCATGGCTATGTTAGTCATAACCAGAGGGTAAAAATGGTGATTTTCCATACAATGTGAGGCCCCCGTTCGATAGCTAAGTTGGTTTATAACTCCAATAACTATGGTTTATGGTACTTATAACTATAGTTACTGGGGCTTATAAACTAACTTATAACTGGGGGGCCTCACATTGTATGGATCAAATTTGGGGATGGTGGATATGGCTTAAAGGCGTTGCTGGATGGGCCGCCTGCCGATGGCAGCCGTGCGCTTGGCGTGCGGTGGCCCAGTGGTTTTTGGGCAACGAGGGGCAACGAGGTACGCCATCAAAAGCCACAACATCCAGGGATTTATGCGGATGTCATGGATTTCTTGGTGGAAAAGCATCTCTAAAGCCCAAAACTAATTTAAAATCAATGATAATTCCAGCGAGAATGGTGATATGATAGGGATTTTTCATGGGATATTTAATCCATTGGATACCAGTATGCATTACATATGGATTTAAATGATTTAATCCAACTTTTTTTATGGAGATTTTAGGGATTTCATGGTGATCATTTACGGCATATGTCACCAACTTGATATGATATTTGGATTTGGCTGAAGCATCATTTATTTATTTCATATAGTTGAGATCCCCTCTGGTAAAAACAAACACTTCACGACATAGAACATGGCCCATAGAAATAGTTGATTTACCTTTGACACATGGTGATTTTCCAGTTCGCTTTCTGTATATTTACCAGAGGGTAATGATTTGATAAACCATGATAAACCATTTCGCCGGGATTTCGCTGGGGGTTTGCCCAGTGAGTTTTATCAGTCTCATCTCCCTGGACTGCGGCGGCGTCAAGCGGTTAAGCTGTTGAGGCCTCTTTGAGACTTCCACCGTCCAGTGGGGAAGCTGAGAATTTGGAGATGTTGATGTTCTTTGAGCAACCAGATTGGCGATGTCAACAGGAACAGTTTTACATATTCTTTAATCTGAATGCATTATATATATATATGTATATAATCATGTAATACATGAATGCAGTGGGTTTTCAAACAATGAAACATGGGGCTTAACCAGCAAACATTGGGACAGCTCCAGGAACAACAATGTTTCTTTTCTTGTCCGACAAGCAGGGGCTTCATTCATGAACAAGTTGGTTCTACCCAGCAAAAAGCTAGGCGATTGATTCGGCACCCTATGAAGGGTTCTCGGTTTCAATTTTAGTTGTTCTTTGTGATTTCGACAGAAACGTAGTATTTGTTGCATTTTTGACTATGCGCATGAAAAATGTCATGTTTCTGCTTCGATGGCAGGCACATTACTTTATAGTGAAAAGGCGCATTTTCCCATAGCAAAAATCTGATTATTTAATTAAAGGTGCCAAACTAAAAAGATGGAATTCAAGTGTTTTAGAGAATGAACTGCTTCAGCAACTAATTACAGCACATTTTTTTTCAACATCAGCGCCAGATGATGTCACTGAGAGTTCTTCAAAGTCAAACTTCTTTCACATTGTTCCGCCACATGTAGGAGTAGGCATACTAATAGCGCATTGGATTCGCTTTGGAGTTCAAGTCTGTTGAAAAACTCTGAGGACACCATTTCTTTAAATGACCCCAAACGATCATTCAACGATCATTCAACGTAATATCCCCATACATCCACAACGTAAGAAGTCCTACCAAGAATGCGGCCGCATTCCCACTCCACACACCTTCACAGGGCGCCGATTCAACCGCCTGTCAAAAACAAGTTGCCACCTTTGTTCTATACCCGGTTTGCCGTAGGCCCGTTCTAGTTTATGACATGCTTATGTTTGGTGATTAATTCGTTTGGTTGATAAAACAATGTGTTAATCAGTCTAAAAGTCAGTTGAAGCCTTGCTTTTAGTTGCTTGCATTCCTGTTGACTAGTCATATTCCCAATTCTGGTGGAATCCCAAAATGAAGTTGGTTAAGTCCACACTTATTACTGGTTACATCCCGCTTTTCCCAGTTTGAACGGTTCAATCCTCGTGTCTTAGTGGTTAGGCCCTTATTTTAGGTTTGTTTAATTCATACAATCCTTTTCTGTTTGATTTTCTGTGAGAGGTCTGTTTGTTTGGTCGGGATATGTCAGGTTTTTTAAAAAAATAACCCAGTGATTTTCCTAGGACAGGACTCTCCAGGGTGCACCAGATGGGGATTTCCTTTGGTTGCTGAGCCGAAAAACGCTACGCCGGCAGGTCCTGAAGCTGAGAGGCCGGTACCGGAGGCGGGGGGTCCCTCGAGATGTGTTGTTTTTTTTGTATCATGACATGATGGGATGTCAAAAATGTATTGCTGCGATTTTTTGTATTTAAGTGGGTCGTTTAGATCTTGGGGTTATCTTTTTTGGTATTCGTTTAGTGGCGGGCGGTTAATTAAAGTGTTTAAAAAAGTAAGTCAACGCTAGATTGGCGCTAGATTGGCGCTAGGTTGGCGCTAGGGCTGCTAGGGTTCTGGATTATAATTTATTATAAGCGTATGGGAGAAAAATAGATAATGTAATTGCGTTTTTACCTCAGTAAAAAGACGTTGGCAAAACTCGACCATGCAGCTGAGAATCCGCGCTAGTGAAAGCCACACATGTGAGAAGTCGCCCACAGAATCGGAACAGTCATCAGAAATCAAGCTGTGTATAGGACAAGTTGCTGCCTCTTTTTCCTACGTATGCATTGGCTACCATTTGCCGTTAGTTTCTTCTTTGGCCTGATGTGTCCAGACGGAAGAAGGAATGAAAAAGGTGTCCCTCCAGCAAACGTTTTGCATCTTCTTAGTGTTTGATCCCATTCCTGTTGGTTTCCATGCATTATTTACATCTCCCTCATCTACCTAGAAGAGTATAGAACAAGAAGCGGGCCCCCACCAGAACAGCTTAGGAGACCCTTTCTGGGACCTGGGAACAGACATTTTGACACCCACATGCTGAGATACAAGCCATGCGACTTACCATCCCCCCCAACATACTCCTTGATCTGCTGAGCCGATGATTGGCATTTTTGCAGTGGGAAATCCACTTAAAATGGGGAATCTATAGGATATATATGTTCTTTTCCAAGGGTTCCTGAAGCAAATCCAAGCACTGCAGACCCTGAGAACCACCCATGGTTGGCGTATATATTACTGGGATGTTATACCCCGATGAGTGATGAAGAAGGGGTTATTCAGCTAGCTGATTTTTTGGGAGGATTTTCTTCAGAATTAACGGGATATCTGCTTCTGATTGAGATGACGCATGTTATACATATACAAATATATATATATATATGTAACTATATGTGTATATATAATTATATATATAGCGTGCTTATTTTCAATCGTGTATTGTGCATCTATAGTGTGTTTTGCCTGATAACATAACGTACATGATATGCAAGAGGTATCGCACAGCCATATTTACATTCATCTATAACCATCATGATATAATTGTATATATATATATATATATATGATACACAAATGTTCACAACATGCAAACATGTATGTTAATTTTACATATCTTATATAGATATATTATATTATAACATATTATATACATATTGTACATATATATAAATATATATGGTATACATATATTGACAATGTAATTTGCTGATCTGCAAATCGGCCGAAAGTCGTCATTTCATCGTGGAAGGGAAATCAGCTCAAGATAACTTCTTCAGCCACTTCAGCAGGCGCGTTGGGTGGTTGTAGCTACCGCAGGTTTGTTGTCACCTGCCATATAAGACCAGGCTACTAGGGCTACTAGGGGGGTGAAATAAAACATGGTGACCATGGTGATAGGAGCAATCTTGATGAAGATGACTTGCTTTCAACACTGAACAATGTCAGTTTTGGCTGGTTGGATTTTGTTTGTTGCCATTGCTGCATGCCAAAAACTGGTTCGTTTATTTACATGTTTGTAATGCTCGAATTCATTTAAATCCAAATCATTTCCCGAAAGGTTTGCTGTTTATTTCTTGATTTGCACTTCTTAGATCACCATGGCTTAGACTGTTAGATCGCCTGTTAGATTAGATCAATCAACATGGTCTTTCTCAGTTTGAACTTCTTATAGTTGTTTTTTTTATTCTCCACTAGATTGAGGATATCTTTTGGGAGCTGTGTGATCCACAAGTCCCGATCTTCGCCGCAGCTTCTCCACAAGACCAAAAAGATTCTGATGAGGAGCGACGGGACAGTTGGAATCTAGGGTACACAATGCATTGAAATACCAGTGAATTTTATGGAAAATCCATGGGAAATGATGGTTTATGGTAATAATCTTATCTGGTTGGTGGTTTGGAACATGATTGGATTATGTTTCCCATATATTGGGAATTTCATAATCCCAACTGACGAACTCTTATTTTTCAGAGGGGTTGAAACCACCAACCAGGTTTATTATTGAATTATTGATTGATTGTGATTATTGCTATTTATTATGATTTGTTATTTTAGACATTCTTTTTATTACTATGCATATCTATGCATACTTTTATGATTCTTATTGTCACTATGGATGTTATTTATTATGTATTAATTATTATACATTTATACCATATTTAGGGGATGATGCACATCCATTTGCCAGCAATTTGAGTGTGAACGGAGGGATATTGTTTCCATAGCCATATCTAAATTGCTGAGTAGGCATAAAGTTGGGGCAAAATAGTGAGAGAAGTCGCCAGGATGTTGATGGAAGTGGCACAAAAATGCAAAAGTGATGAAGTAGTTGGAACCGAAGGGGGAACAACTGCTGAAACGAGCAAATGAAATGATGATATAATGAAATATGACAATATGATATGATACAATCTGATATGATCTTGCATATGTGTCAAATAAGGCTCATCTACACATAGTACCCGCCCCACCTTGGTTTCACATGTTCCCTGGTATCTACAGTGTCTTTGTGACGTTTTGAGGTTAGGTTGCCCCACTAAAACCTGACCTAGTTAGTTTTGCTGTTTCCAATTAAAGCCTGAAAAGGCTCTGGGGGGTGATCATGTTTTGTAGCCGCATGTGAACATAGGATGGGAATGACTATCAGTGACTTTCACAACTACAGTCATCTCCTTTTCTGCTGGCTGCTAGGTGCTGCTTCTGAAGTTGGATGTGAACGCCGTGCGCGTGGCGGCAGAACTGGAGAAGGAGGAGATTTCTGGTGGACGAATCATTTTGTCAAGAAACAAACGGTAGAATTTGGTGGAAACAACTTGGGACATTTGAATTTGGTGAGTTTGAGTTTGATCATATATATATATACATATTTATATATATATATATAAACTATTAAAATGGGGTTTTGACTTTGCTGAAATTCAGATTGTGGCCAGAAATGGGACTATTAGGTGGAAAACTTCCAAAACTGAATGTGATTTTAGAGCCAAACAATATGGGAATTTAAGCTTGATACATAATTGATATGTTTGGCCAGACATGAGATGTTGTTTTTACCAGTGTAATGTAATGTGGTGTAATGTCATGTAATGCAATGTAATGTGATGTAATGTGTTGTAATATAATGCAATTTAATGTAATGTAATGTTATGTAATGTGATTATGCATGCATGCATGCAGTATGTACAGTATGTTTGCGAACGCGGTTAGTGTTGTAATATAATGCAATGTTAATGTAATGTAATGTTATGTAATGTGATTATGCATGCATGCATGCAGTATGTACAGTATGTTTGCGAACGCGGTTAGTATTATTGATATCATGTTTGACATGATTAGCAGATCGTTGTTGGGGCTATCCTCCTCCTCCTCATCATCATCATCAGCATCATCACCATCATATCATATCGTATCATATCATATCATATCATATCATATCATCATCATCATCACCATCATCATCATCACCATCATCATGTATATATATATATATCTATATGTGTGAATGTATGTATGTAGATTTATTATGTATATTAGATTATTTATTCCTGTGTAAAAATTGTGTGTGTGTGTGCTTTTATCACCGCTTTCCCCAGTTCTTTCTCCAGCCCTGACGCCCTGACAGCGGCAGAAATTGATCTCGGAGCATTGTGACCAATTGGACGATTTGGTCAAGCAACACGACAAGGACCGACCGACCGCCGTTGATCATCGTTGATCCATTGGATCCCCAGCCAATGGAAAGCCATGAAGATTTTTGTCGAGTATGGAGGGCTGGTTATTAATGGATATATTACCAACATACAATAACAATGATAATAATCATGGTTGGATATATTATTAGATGTTAATGGGTTTTAATGATTTAATGGGCATAACAATGATACAACTATGGTAACAACCATGGGGGAGGGAACACTGACCGCGGCCACCGAAATGGACATTCCCTGAACGAAAAAAAATCGATGCCGGGTCAGGTCGTGATATCTGGCATAACCCCTCTCTCTTGGTAAAGCCACCAGTTACAAGGTGGTGCCCCCAAGATAGCTAAGTTGGTTTATAACTCTAATAACTAGGACTTATGGTAGATATATCGAACTAGTTAATGGGGTTATAAACCAGCTTATAACTTGGGGGGCACCACCTTGTATATGTTATGTGTACTACATCCAGCTATGTGTATATGATTGTGTGTATATGATCTGTATATGCAACATTTGCGTTGGTTGACCCCAGTTTCTGCGTTCAATCCCTATTGCTTGCGGTTTCAACTTCCTTGGAAAACATCGCCGGCGACCGGCCAGGAGCGGCGCAAACTGCAGAATGAGTTGACCGAGCTTCGCTCCAAGCAACTGTGCAGTGAGGCGATGGAGTCAACGAGTCAACTAACCTTGGACGACCATCAAAAATGGGGTAATTTGCATAGAAAAAACTTGCTCCGGACTTGCTGTAACCAACAGAGATAGGGGATATAGCTAATATAGCTGGTACAGCTGGAGAAAGGGCGTGGATGGGTAGATGGGTACTTTCGTACTTCAATCTCTATTTGTCAATGGGAATACATCCTAACCATTCCTAACCAGCTATTGAAAACAGACGCAGGGTGTCTATCAGCAATGCATTGATCTACAACCTCCACTGAAAAAAGTCATGGCCTCACTGGCACAGGGCCAACCTCACCATGGCCATGGATGGTGAGTTTGATTTCAAGTTGGTGACTTATTCCAATTTCGCCTCTGCCAAATATATATATATATATGCACGTATGTAAATATATATATATATGTGTGTGTGTTTAAACACATGATAATTTTTCTGACATACTTTCTGGCATATGCTGACATTATTTCTGTCATTCTATTCCATTCTATTCTGACATTATATCTAGCATTTTATGCAGATTGAGGAGAGGAGGTGAGGAGTTGCGCCTTCGTTAAAAGCGACCCTCACACAGGTGGGGACTAAGGAATTGTTGCAACTTGCCTTGATAAAGATGGGATATGTCCTCTTTATATATAGTTATATATATATACATAGAAATACATAGTTACACATATATATATAATATTTTAATATTACATATGATTATTTCATTATATATATATAAATATTTAATAATCCATTTATGACCCAGCCTTAGCTGTTGCTGCGCCTCTGCACAGGCTCGGGAGAAGCCGTTGCAGGAGATCCGAGCGCACTTCGAGAAGCAGGCGCAACCAGCAGAAGAGGATTTAGGGTTCCCTAAATTAGGACAGGAAATAATTGGATCCCTTACTAAGTAATAAGTATTGATCCCTTACTAAATCATAATACTGGTTGGTGTTTTCAAACATTTTTTTCCATTTCATATATGGGATGTCATCCTTCCCATTGACGAACTCCATCATTTTTCAAGATGGTTGAAACCACCAACCAGGTGCAGTACACCCAGTGTAACAAACCATGGTAAATTGACTAGCATTTCCAAAGAAAAATGAACATGGGGCTCACCATTGATACATATGAATGCCACGTTAAATGACTTCTGACCTGGAGTTTGGTGGGAAATGTTGGATAGGATGATATGGGTTCGATCGCTTTCCTCATTACAAAAGGCACATCCTTTGTTTCTAGTACCATTTGATGACTGTCGAAACGAAGGACTTTCTGCCGGCTTCCCCATCCAGCATCAAAGCTATATTAGCCAATCCATGGATGATGTGTCTGTCTGAAATACTCTGAAGGTATACCCACCAAATGGCCATTCTACTCAGAGTATGAAAAATTGGTCATTAATCATAATTTTTAGGGTACCCAATTTTCAGAAGAATCCATTACTGAATAACAAATTCAGATTTGCCAACGGTTTTTGATGTTTCCAGATTAATGTGAACCCAAGAATACTCCATCCAGCAAAGACAAAACAAAAGGTAGGTTTATGGCATTGGGCATTGGGTTTACCATATTAGATCTCCATGTTTCTTGATTCTGTGGTGAATCAGCTCCCACTGGGCTATTTCACCTATGGTTTGAGGATTGTTCAGGTCACTCAATAACCGTCCAACCATCCAAAATGGTCACAACATGAAGTTCCAGTGCCCATATTTTTTTCTATAGCAAACATCACCGTTGTCGCTGTCGCTGTCGCTGTCGTTGTCGTTGTCGTTGTCGTTGTCGTTGTCGTTGTGGTTGTTGTTGTTGTTGTTGCTGTTGCTGTTGCTGTTGCTGTTGCTGTTGTTGTTGTTGTTGTTGTTGTTCTTGTTCTTGTTCTTGTTCTTGTTCTTGTTGTTGTTGTTGGTGGTGGTGGTGGTGGTGGTGTTGGTGTTGTTGTTGCCGTTGTCGTTGTCGCTGTTGTTGTTGTTGTTGTTGGCAAAACCCATTTTTTGCTGGTTTAACCATGTTTAACCTCAGCCTCAGATGCTTGCCACTTAAGTACCACTCTTGGCTGGTCAGATCTTTTTATTTGTTGAACCCCACATTTTTTGGGGGTGTCATTGGCGTAATCCATCATTTTAGCTCCACCTTTTTTTTTCATCAGGTTCATTTTCATTTAAATTCATCATTTTTGGGTTAATCCATCATTTTGTTGGGTGTCATTCAGTTGCATCCCATATTTTTTCTGGGTGAACTCGCCAAGCTTCGTCGCTTGCTTCGCATGGCAGGTCGCTGAGGTGAAATACGGCTTGGTGGCGCAGATTGCGGTGCGACGCTCAGTGAAAAAACAAAAAACACATGGGCCTTGATCTGCTGCGTCGATGTTTTTGTCGCATCTTCCTGGCAAATCCACTTGGGGAATCGGGATTTTTTGTTTTATGTTTGGCTCCTTAAGTAAATCCAAGGGATAGGTGCAAGAAATGTTGATGATGCTATAGCAACAAACAGGGGGATTTTAACCAACGAAACTTGGTGATTTTTGTATGGTGGTTTCACGGAGATACATTGGGAATAGCCATCGGAAATCCCGAATGAAATGGAGTCAGATTTTACAGCCATGTTTGCTTTACAGGAGGGTATACCCTCTGGTAATGACTAACATAACTACGGAACATCACCATTTATAGTGAATGTTCCCATGAAAAAAGGTGATTTTCCATAGTTATGTTAGTTTACCAGAGGGTATATCAAAGATATGTGGACGATGCTACAACAATTTCCTCCTCATATTGTATTTCAATATGATATAGCATATCATATACTAGCATATATAATATATATATATATTATTATAGAATATGTAATATCATTTATTACATACCATCAAGATAATTCAAGGGATAGTAGCATATCATAAGATTTCAGGCGATAGCACAGCACTGTGATCGTATCAGATTAGTTTGGTTTGGAGCTGCGAATATCAGTGGACAAATATTTCATACGCAGCGTTCAGAAAGGAAATAAAACAAGTTACACACACTTGGTTTGAAGTTTGGAGTGTCAAGGATTATATAGCCATGTTTGGACTAGCCTCCGGTAATCAAACGTTGCAATGGAAAATCAAAAAGAAAGGGAGGTTTTAATGGGCAAATCATATATTTAATATACATATATATATATATACACATAAATTTGGGGAATTTTCCGTTGCCATGATTGATTACCAGAGGGTAACAATGATTGCAATAGTAGATGCTTGGATGGCTTGCAAACGGCACCTCTCCAAATAGCTCCCGATTGAAAAAAAGGTTATTCCCCCGTTGCCCTTTGATAATCTTACCAGACGATGGAAGCTTAAACCATCGTGTTTGATAGTACTAGTCCTTGATGTTTTCTCACAATAAGTGTTTTTTCGGTCAGTGATTTCAATCGGTTTTATGCTCAACCATGTTTGCGATGATGATTGTCAATGAGTAATATTTTATTTCCCCAACTGCCAGGTGAGGGTTGTTAGATTTTATCACAGTTGTTCTCCTCCTCCGCCTCCTCCTCCTCCTCATCCTCCACCTCCTTCTCCTCCTCCTCCCTCTCCTCCAGCTTCTCCTCCACCACCTTTGCATCCACTCCCATGTTCACTTCCGCCTTGCCAACTCTTCGCCAAGCTCTTCGCCAACTTCCGCACGCAGTGGGCACTGCTGGACCTCAACTGCAAGGGTCTGAGCGCACTGGGCACCGCTGGACCTCAACCTGGGACCTTCCGAGCTCAGTGAGCACCGCTGGACCTCAACCTGGGACCCTCCGAGCTCAGTGAGCACCGCTGGACCTCAACCTGGGACCCTCCGAGCTCAGTGAGCACCGCTGGACCTCAACGGCCAGATAGAATGCCAGAAGATATGCCAGATAGAACGCCAGATAGAATGTCAGAAAGAATGCCAGAAGATATGCCAGATAAAGTGCCAGAATGTTTGCCAGATAGAATGCCAGAAGATATGCGAGATAGATCCAGATAGAATGCCAGAAGGTATGCCAGATAGAATGTCAGATAAAATGCCAGATAAAGTGCCAGAATGTTTGCCAGATAGATCGCCAGAAGATTTGCCAGATAGAATGCCAGACCAAAAGATATGCCAGAAGATATGCCAGAAGATATGCCAGATAAAATGCCAGAAGGTATGCCAGAAGATATGCCAGGTAGAATGCCAGAAGATATGCCAGATAAAATGCCAGAAGATATGCCAGATAAAATGCCAGAAGATATGCCAGATAGATTGCAAGAAGGTATGCCAGATAAAGTGCCAGAATGTTTGCCAGAAGATATGCGAGATAGATCCAGATAGAATGCCAGAAGGTATGCCAGATAGAATGTCAGATAGAATGCCAGATAAAGTGCCAGAATGGTTGCCAGATAGATCGCCAGAAGATTTGCCAGATAGATTGCCAGATAGAATGCCAGAAGATATGCCAGAAGATATGCCAGATAGAGTGCCAGAAGACATGCCAGAACATATGCCAGAAGATATGCCAGGTAGAATGCCAGAAGATATGCCAGATAGAATGCCAGAAGATATGCCAGATAAAATGCCAGAAGGTATGCCAGATAGATTGCCAGAAGGTATGCCAGATAGAATGTCGGATAGAATGCCAGAAGGTATGCCAGATAAAGTGCCAGAAATGTTTGCCAGAACATGTGCCAGAAGATATACCAGATAGAATGCCAGATAGAATGCCAGAAGATATGCCGGAATATATGCCAGATAGAGTGCCAGAAGACATGCCAGAACATATGCCAGAAGATATGCCAGGTAGAATGCCAGAAGATATGCCAGATAGAATGCCAGATGATATGCCAGATAAAATGCCAGAAGATATGTCAGATAGAATGCCAGAAGATTTGCCAGTAACAAAACGTATAGATGTCATGGTGGGGATAACTCGAAGTAAAGTAATTTTGGATGTTGGAAGCCGTCAATCAGTTGTCCATTGACCTGTGTGTGCTACAAGAGATTTATTTATAGCTATATATATATATATAATATTATGTAATATTATGTAATATATGTATGTATGTATGTATGTATGTATGTATGTATGTATGTATGTATGTATGTATGTATGTATGTATGTATGTATGTATGTATGTATTCTACATTCTATATATACATATATATACATGCAGTATATTCTTCTGGATATTCAGAAGCTTTGTCTCCAGCGACTTCGTCAGGACATCCATGAGCAAAAACGGATGCAGAATGGACAGCCCAGCTGGGATGGTTTGATGTTAGCCCCAACAGGTGGCGGGAAAATCAAGGCCGAAACAGGTCTCGGCATTGAGTTTGGAAAGGAAAGAAGGGTATCCCACCCCCTGAAAAAATAAACCATGGGTTATATCCTGAGAAAAGAAGGATCTCCCCCAACAAAAACAGTGGTTTATGATCAGTTTCCTGTTTGAACATGCAATTTTGCTGGTATTTTCAGGCTGCCTGCCCATTTTCAGACCCATAGTTGCCCAAATTTCCTCATTTGTTCATCCACCATAAGCGAAGAATCTACGAATCTACACGCCGGGAATACAATCTGGCAACGAGAAGTCATCTACAAATATCTATAAATGTGTTTATGTAGTTATAGATACCCTTTGGCAAACGTTTACATTTCTATGGAAACTCACCATTTTTCATGGGTAAATCCACTATAAATCACAATTTTCAATAGCTATGTTTGTTTACCAGAGGGTATCTGGAAGTATCTATATTGAATATTTTTATTGAGTATCTATAAGCATCTTTAACACTCTATGTATATATATATACATATATATACATATAATAGATATAGAACATTGAATAACTATAGATATGCAAAGCCACCTCCATTTTCCACTCAGCATCCCCTTTGCTGCTCCAGGACAAGCGGAGCAGGAAATGGCACTTTTGAAGAAGGACTTGGAAAGGCGCCGGGATCCATGGTACCGAGGTCGCCATTTTCGATGGTTCCCCATGTTGAATGGTGGTTGTGGGCGTACACCTATGCCGTAAACCTACCATTTGCGGATCATTGCTACCATCCATTTATAGCGGTTTTGGAGATTATCTATTTAATGTTATTGGGTTTACGAATATCCACCACTGGTTCTTTTTGAATGATTATGAATGATATCCATTGGCCAAATGTATAGATTTCCCTGATACCTTTGCGGTAATCAGTGTGCTTGTTAGATTGTAGTTCTCAAAGTCCACTGTTGCTTAGGCAATGAACCACATTTTTTTAACATCCACATGTCGGAATCCAGCGGCAAGAATCCAAAGTTCTCAGTGTGCCAGGCGACACTCAATGCCTTTTTTACATCACTATCCCTTTGAGTTGACCAGCAGCAGTGGGTAAAAGTCGGGGCACAGCTCCTTGCAAGTTTTCGTTGAACCTGTTTCTTGCTCTTTTGCATCTCCAATTTGGTGAAATGTGCCGTTGCGTGTGCCCGTGATGTTTAAACTGGTATCATCGAAAGCCGGCAGCCGAGCCCAAACCCTGCAGCACATCTTCCCGAGCTCGATGGCTTCCAAAGCCTTCGCACAGCCTTGGTGACATCCTGAAAGATGAGTAGATGAGCATCCCAAAATCATCTATGATCTATTGTCAAGTCTGTTCTTGAGTCTTTCATCAGTCTGTTCTTTAGTCTTTCATCAGTCTGTTCTTGAGTCTTTCATCAGAACTTTCATCAGTCTGTTCTTGAGTCTTTCATCAGTCTGTTCGTGAGTCTTTCATCAGTCTGTTCTTGAGTCTTTCATCAGTCTGTTCTTGAGTCTTCCATCAGTCTGTTCTTGAGTTTTTCGTCAGTCTGTTCTTGAGTCTTCCATCAGTCTGTTCTTTAGTCTTTCATCAGTCTGTTCTTGAGTTTCTCATCAGCCTGTTCTTGAGTCTTTCATCAGTCTGTTCTTGAGTCTTTCATCAGTCTGTTCTTTAGTCTTTCATCAGTCTGTTCTTGAGTCTTTCATCAGTCTGTTCTTGAGTCTTTCATCAGTCTGTTCTTGAGTCTTCCATCAGTCTGTTCTTCAGTCTTTCATCAGTCTGTTCTTGAGTTTCTCATCAGTCTGTTCTTTAGTCTTTCATCAGTCTGTTCTTGAGTTTCTCATCAGCCTGTTCTTGAGTCTTTCATCAGTCTGTTCTTTAGTCTTTCATCAGTCTGTTCTTGAGTCTTTCATCAGTCTGTTCTTGAGTCTTTCATCAGTCTGTTCTTGAGTCTTCCATCAGTCTGTTCTTGAGTCTTTCATCAGTCTGTTCTTGGGTCTTTCATCAGTCTGTTCTTTAGTCTTTCATCAGTCTGTTCTTGAGTCTTTCATCAGTCTGTTCTTGAGTCTTTCATCAGTCTGTTCTTTAGTCTTTCATCAGTCTGTTCTTGAGTTTCTCATCAGTCTGTTCTTTAGTCTTTCATCAGTCTGTTCTTGAGTCTTTCATCAGTCTGTTCTTGATTCTTTCATCAGTCTGTTCTTGAGTCTTTCGTCAGTCTGTTCTTGAGTCTTGATCAGTCTGTTCTTTAGTCTTTCATCAGTCTGTTCTTGAGTCTTTCATCAGTCTGTTCTTGAGTCTTTCATCAGTCTGTTCTTGAGTCTTTCATCAGTCTGTTCTTGAGTCTTCCATCAGTCTGTTCTTTAGTCTTTCATCAGTCTGTTCTTGAGTTTCTCATCAGCCTGTTCTTGAGTCTTTCATCAGTCTGTTCTTGAGTCTTTCATCAGTCTGTTCTTTAATCAGTCTGTTCTTGAGTCTTTCATCAGTCTGTTCTTGAGTCTTTCATCAGTCTGTTCTTTAGTCTTTCATCAGTCTGTTCTTGAGTTTCTCATCAGTCTGTTCTTTAGTCTTTCATCAGTCTGTTCTTGAGTCTTTCATCAGTCTGTTCTTGAGTCTTTCATCAGTCTGTTCTTGAGTCTTTCATCAGTCTGTTCTTGAGTCTTCCATCAGTCTGTTCTTTAGTCTTTCATCAGTCTGTTCTTGAGTATTCCATCAGTCTGTTCTTGAGTCTTTCATCAGTCTGTTCTTGAGTCTTTCATCAGTCTGTTCTTGAGTCTTTCATCAGTCTGCTCTTTTTTCTTTCATCAGCCTGTTCTTGAGTCTTTCATCAGTCTGTTCTTGGGTCTTTCATCAGTCTGTTCTTGAGTCTTCCATCAGTCTGTTGTTTAGTCTTTCATCAGTCTGTTCTTGAGTTTCTCATCAGTCTGTTCTTTAGTCTTTCATCAGTCTGTTCTTGAGTTTTTTATCAATATTGACTCTGACAAACATCCCAACGTTGTCAATTCTCAAGTCTAGCAACATATTCTAGGTAAATGATCGCCAGAAAGGGGGGGAAACTGGTGATGTTAACATGCACCGCATGGCAGGTGTCAGGCTGAACTGGCGGCGAGCCAACAGGAGCTCCGCAAACTAGTGCTGCTCTACGAGAAGGAGCTGTTTGGATGGGGAAAAACGGTGTGTTTAGCTATGAAAACATGGGACGTATGGTTGTTTGGTTCACGATAAACTGCTTTTCCACCATCCCTTGATTGAAACGAATTGGCGGTGTGGCGGAGAGTTTGTGGGTTTTCCTGTGCCACTTTTCATCAATTATCTATATATATATATATATTTCCCTATCATTCATTCCTTGTCCATACATGTTGTTTTTCAAATCTATAGAACTCTGGAGTATTGTTTGAGTTCATGAGCATGAGGTAAATCCAAGCTGAGCTACAAAACCATAGCGAACACTTTGATTCGAGTATCCAACTACACTCTTATTTGGCCTCACGAAGAGAGCTTGACTTTAGGCAAGCAAAATCCCTGGTCATCGCCATGGGCTTTTCACGGCTACAGCTCAGACATGGAGAGATCATTTTGAGTTTAAGCCATCACAACGGGTGGTTGAAGAGTGATTGCCCTGCAAGGTAATGCTTATACTGGAAATACAAGAGACATCAAAAAACCCTGTTTTAGGCATCCCAGAAACCGTATGCCGCCATGACACAAAAATTAGCCGCCCTCTTAGCCTCTTCCGTCATGCCGAGCCAGGAACAACAAGAACTACAAGACCTGCGGCAACAGCACAGCTCCGGCGATTCCAAGACATTGATTCTGGGAGAAAGCACGGGATGACGTCGATGACGTGTCAAAAACCTGGGATACTTACAGGTAGCATTCTAAGCTTAGGAGCTTCAAGGTGTACCCAGGGTGGATAAAAAATGATGAAAAGTCTAAGTCAACCTCGGATTAACACCCTCCTGTGGGTGGGGTGCCGTTTGCGATGGGAATTATCGCAATATTTTGAAGATGTTTGAAGACTCTCCTATTGATGAACTCGGGGGATATGATTTCCATCCTAGGTTGATATCAGCATAGGTTATATAATTAATTAGTCGGAAAAGCTGCCCCACTTGCGCTTACAACCTGGAACTTGATCGATGTGTTCATAGAATCTCAAGCACCCTACCAAAGTGGCGGTCTCCCAAGAATGTTTGGGCTTGTCATGGGCATTATTCTCCAACCAGTCATGAATAAGGGCTTCCTAAATCTTCCTAACCATCTATTGTCGGGGGGTTACCTTGGTGTGTGGTTGAATTCCATGGCTTTCTCAATGGATTGATTCAACATGGATCACCGGATCTATGTGTGGATGTTTTTCCGACACGAGTAACATCAACTGGATTCAACTGGCAAACCATCCAGTCTAGGATTGATCTAAACTGGTTGGTGGTTTGGAACCATGGAATTTTATGACTTGCCATATATTGGGAATAATCATCCCAACTGACTAATAGTTTTCAAGATGGTTAAAGCCACCAACCAGATCCAGTCTAGGATTGATCTAAAAGTGTCTGCGTTTTTGACACTGACCTCGGATTGGATCCACGCGCAATATCCACGCAAATGCAACACCGGTGTGGAAAACTACCGGGTGTTCAGCGGACGCCATAAAATGCGCGTCCGGCACTGGTAGATCAATGTACCATACCGCCATACTTCTCCAAAAAGTCCGCTGCACACGGGTTGGAGGTCCTAAGTGTATATGTTCAAAAATGGACAAAGTGCACCAATAATCTCAAATTCCTGATGTTTTTTTTGTTTTTTGTTGCGTTTATGTCTATACCACCAAATGTCATCGGAAAATGGATCTATTGGGTTACCAAACATATACTATCCATCATCCCTTTTGTGGAGTACCCTCTGGTGATTTAACATAGCTATTGAAAATGACCATTTCTAGTGGAATTTCCCATTGAACATGGTGATTTTCCATAGTTTTTTGTATGTTTACCATGTCGGGTATGTTTTTACCACCGGATCCAAATGGTGAGAAAAAGGGCATGATTGCCATGGCGTTGACCAAACGAGTTCGAAAAACCAGCCGGTGTGCCCACCATGACACTGGAGAAATCCACCAGCTGCTGCGCTTCAAATGGGTTCAACCAGCTGCTGACATTTAAAAATGTCAAATGGAACATCAAATCGCCCCCACGTACCAAGCGAAATCATCACTCTTGGACAGCAAAGAGCCAAAGTAGAAAAGAGCATAGTTTTTTGGGTCAGCCCCATTTTCACTACGCGGGTGGTGTTTTTTGTTGTTCAACAAAACTAAGTTGCACTTCTGGAGCCACAAACTCTGCATAAAGATGGGATAATTGCGTCTTTTTTGCCTGTAGGATCTCGCTATTGAATGTGCCGCAATGCATTCATCCACGTCCAGGAGACTGCGGGTTTTCCTGGTGCCTTTGAGCTATGACGTTTGAACTTGGGACAGCGAAGGCTACTATCTCATACTATCGCCAACAAGATGTGGAAAAGATTCTTTCAACTGAGGGTGCCCAATTGTGGGAGGCGATCTTTGTTTTAAAGAAGACTGATGTTTGTGATGTGTGAAATGTGCTCTTGGTTTACACGCGTATGTCACGCATTGAGAATGACAAGATGGAGTTACTACACCAACAAGTCTGTCTCTGCGTCTAAACCAGATCCATACATACTGTAGCACTGCCAATTATGAATTCATGCTTAGTGAACACAAGCAGGTGGGAGCAATTGAGAGTACAACTTAAGCGTCTTCAGAAATGGTCGACCCATTGCAACACACCTAAAAATGGCTGACCATTGCGACATGTTGCGACCATGTTACATCGCAAGAATTCTTGCAAACATTTGAGTATGTGGGCCATCGTGGTGTGAAGCACCCCAATTTATGTCTACCTTGAACTAGCTATAATATTATCATATGTGGAGCACAATGTGGGACCAAAAACTAGATCCTCACTGGGTGCAGGAAAACCCATGGGGAGCAATTTCATCACAACAATATCCAGATATCCAGGTTTCAATCCCCAAATTTCCGAAGAACCCAACAACATCCAACAACCAGGCTGTCTATAAAGATCTTGTTGAATTCCAACGATTCCTAGTGGACCTCGGACCAGGAAGCGACGGGAGGAGCAGGCGAATGCGAGTACCGGAAATTCCCCAAAAGAAGTGGTTGACGGTTTCAGTGAGATATTGTGATTGGGGTAGAATATTATAATTATAATGTAAATGTATGTAATGTATGTAATGTATGTAATGTATGTAATGTATGTAATGTATGTATGTATGTATGTATGTAATGGTATGGTATGGTATGGTATGGTATGGTATGGTATTGTATTGTATTGTAATGTAATGTAATGTATGTATGTATGTGTGTGTATGTATGTATGTGTGTATGTGTGTATGTATGTATGTATGCATGTATGTATGTATGTATGTAATGTATGTATGTATGTATGTATGTATGTATGTATGTATGTATGTATGTATGTATGTATGTATGTATGTATGTATGTATGTATGTATGTATGTATAAGCATGTATGTATGTATGTATTAATGTAATGTAATGTAATGTAATGTAATGTAATGTAATGTAATGTAATGTATGTATGTATGTATGTTATGTATGTATGTATGTATGTATGTATGTATGTATGTATGTATGTAATGTATGTAATGTATGTAATGTATGTAATGTATGTAATGTATGTAATGTATGTAATGTATGTAATGTATGTAATGTATGTAATGTATGTAATGTAGTAATGTATGTAATGTATGTAATGTATGTAATGTATGTAATGTATGTAATGTATGTAATGTATGTAATGTATGTAATGTATGTAATGTATGTAATGGATGTAATGTATGTAATGTATGTAATGTATGTAATGTATGTAATGTATGTAATGTATGTAATGTATGTAATGTATGGAATGTATGGAATGTATGTAATGTATGTAATGTATGTAATGTATGTATTGTATGTAATGTATGTAATGTATGTAATGTATGTAATGTATGTATGTATGTATGTATGTATGTATGTATGTATGTATGTATGTATGTATGTATGTATGTATGTATGTATGTATGTATGTATGTATGTATGTATGATGTATGTATGTATGTATGTATGTATGTATGTATGTATGTATGTATGTATGTATGTATGTATGTATGTATGTATGTATGTATGTATGTATGTATATATTGTATATATTGTATATATTGTATATATTGTATATATTGTATATATTGTATATATTGTATATATGTATTGTGTTAGGATTTACGTGAAATGCATTCAATAGTTTTAAATATAATATAATAAATGTATACATGTACATACCATGACTGGGATAAAATAATATATATATATGTATTTATTTATTTATCATTGGGGAATCTATTTGGAAATAACTGGTATATCAAGAGGGTTGACTGTGGCTATTATATCTATTACGGCTACATATCTACTTACAACTGGAGCTGCATGGAGCTGCTACTCTCGGGTAGTCAAACATGACTGGCTAGGAAATCTCTGAACAAAGTGGAGGTTCGGAGGGAAAACCATGGAATTCTAACTCAATGGTGAATTTTCCAGCAAGCCATGTTTGATTGCCGGAGGGTATGGGAATTTGTTTGGATATAATTGGGATGTAAAGACTATTATGATCTCTCATCATTTGAACAGAAACTATGTGATCCCCAAGTATACGGAATTGAAATCTGTGGCTCAAACGGCTCATACAATGCATGGATCTGAATTCTGAGCTTGGGACACGGAAAATGAAGGAAGCACACTGTTGTTTGACTTGTTGAAAAGCAAAAGGACTGGAAGTGAACTTTGATTCTTTGATTGGTTAGAACCTATGCGGATGAATCTCTTACAGGCCAGACAGACACACACACATATATATATATATAGATATAGATAAAATATATATATATATAATATAGTATACATAATTACATATAATATTATATATGATATACCTGATTATGTACATACACATAATATCTATACATATCTATACATATTATATATATATATATATGTATATGTATGTATAATACGTTCATATCATACACGTTATGCGCTGTCCAGGGCCGAGATGACGATGTGCCTTGGCGGACGGGATCGGGACGTGGGATGATCAACTCCGGAATGCTACCTGGAGGAAGGCCAGAAGAAATGGATTTCCTTATGGGTCCATTTTTTGTTTAGGGAATGATGTGGAAGAATCATGAATAATCCCAGAGTTTCTGGATTTAATTGGATTTCAGGGAATGATGTGGAAGAATCCCAGAGTTTCTGGATTCGGATTTTCAAAATCTGATGTGTTGAAGCGGGAATCTGCAAAAAATCATGAGAAATGGGGATTCAACCATCAGAACCGGGATTGAACCAATACATAATGGATATGGTTTTGTCTGATAATGGAGTATACCCCTCATTTTAAGGAATTTGGTTGGGAAAATGATATGATGACTCAGTCGTTTTAACAGCAAAAAAAACACCTTTTTGGAGGTTAAAAAACCATCAAAAATCGAGTTTTTAAATAACAAACCCATTGGGACTTAACTACCAAAAATTCTGGGATAGAAAACCATCAGTGGAGATGCTCCATCAAACATATGGGGATATAATCCTGATTTATTGCTCGGCAAGGTGACGTAGTTTTTGTGGGATTTATGCATCATTCATAGGGGTTTTCATTCATCAACGGTATGTTTGTTTTTGTCTTGGCGGTAGGGCCGGTTGATGCCCCGGTTCGGTAGCCCTTATGCGCAAGGGTTGGTTTAGGTGATAAGCATCACAAGGTGGGGCACCACCTC